ATCCCCGCCATGAATGTGAGCACCAGGCTGACCCAACCCCCCCCCCTCCAAGCCCCCCAGGTACCACAGGTGGTGATGCATGCAATGATTTCAGAGGCTGCAATGTCCCCAGCAGCGGCCTGCTGGTGCGGGCGCAGCGCGCCTGCGGCCCTTCAAGCAGCGCTCAATGCAGCAGCAGCACGAGCAGCCTGCAGCGGCCCGCCGCCGTCGATCGCCTGATTGTCGGGAGTGAGCCCATCAGCAGCACGGTATGTGGGCCAGCAGACGGCAGGTGCGAACCCGCAACCACAGTCGTACTGCTTTGTGGCAGGTCCGCCGCGCGAGTACTGTACTGCTTGCCACCAAGTCCCGCGCGCCAAAATGCGTGTGCAAAATGACATCCCCAGGGTTGTGTCATGTAGCATGAGGCGTGCTGCCCTTGCCACCGCAGCACCGCAGGCGGACCTGGAAGGTTCCCTTGGGACCGCCACTGCGAACGCCTGCCGCGCCGGGGCGTGGGCGTCTGCCGCCGCAGCGTCCTGGCCGCAGCGCGCGCCAAGGAGGACGCGCGCGCGCTGAAGCACGCAGCCGCCGCTGCCGGCAGCAGCGGCCTCCCAGCAACTGCGGCGGGCTGCGCGGCAGCGAACCCGGGCAGTGCACCCGCATACCCTCAGCTCGCGGCAGTGGCCCTTCATTCTGCACCAGAGTTCCTAGCGGCAGCTGCGGCGGCGGTGCGGCAGCACAATGCGGAACGCCCGGGTGCGCCGGGGGCGCTTGAGTGCGAATTGCTCCGCGTGGCTGGTGTTTTTTGGGGGGAAAGGGGCTATGGAGGACGCGCTCAGCCCGCTCGCCGCAATAAAGCTGGGCCCTGGGGGCGCCCCTACAAGCTGGATGTTGTGGGCAGCCAAACAGCCTGAGGTGGATTGCCTTGAGGGTCCGTTTGCCCTAAGATACAGGCGGCTCCGCCCCACCGCACGGTGATGCTGCCACGCCTGCCCCCGCAGACGCCCCCATGACACCCCTGCTGCTGGAGCGCACCGCGCGCCCCGCCGCCGCCGCTCTGGCGATCCAGTGCGCCTGGCGCGCCCACGCGGCTCGGGCGGCTGCGGGCGTGGGCGGGCGCGCGCTGCGGCGGAGGGCGGCTGTTTGCATCCAACAAGCCTGGCGGGCGGGTGAGTGGCACTGCTCTGCTACAGTCAGCTGATCCCATGCTGCTGCTTCATCAAATAGGCTATGTCGTAGGGGGGGGGGGGGCAGAGAGTCTTGCAGCAAAAAATTGACGCGCTTGGGATTCAACCAGACAGGGCTCGCTGCTGAAACAAGCCTCCGCCGCCCGCGCCACAGCGCTGCTGCGGAGCCGCATGGAGCTGCTGTCTTTGCTGGCGGCCGCCCTGCGCCGCGCCCGCATCCTGGCGTCCCTCGGCCGCCGCGCGTTCCGCCTCGACGCCGCCGGCTGGCGCCTGATGCAGGCTGCCAAGCACGCCAGCACGGCTGGGCCGGGGCTCTTTCCGGAGCAGCGGCTTCGGTTCCTTTTTGACGGGGCAGGGCGGGTCCTGCTCGTACGCCGCGGCGCGCCCGACGGCGGCGGCGGGGGCAGTGGCGCAGAGGGGGGCATACGCGGCCGAGCGCCGCTGCCAGAGTGGCTAGGGGCCGGGCTGCCGGCGGTCGACGAGGCAGGGGCGGCGGCGATGCTTGAGGAGAGCATATTCTTTGAGCCGTTTGGGAGGGAGGACGCGGGACGGCTGCTGGCGCAGGGCTGCGAGGTGCAGGTGCGCGTGTGGGTGCGCGGCACCGCGACCGCTGCGCGCGACGTGCAAGAGGGCCGCCTGAAGCCACAGCTAGCAACGGTCATCTCGTCGTCGAATGAATTGAGTAGTGAGCGTGAGGCTTGGGCACCTATGCAGTGCAACCATGCGTGCAACCAGTGGCAATGCAACGTCTGAATGCTTACAATAACAGGAGCTGTTTGACCTATCTGATCCAGCAGCAGCCGATCGGCTGCCTCCCGACGCGACCTGCTGCGTCGTCACATTTGCGGACGCGCGACAGGCGCTCGCGCGCACGGTGCTGCTGGCGGCGCTGACCTGGGACGTGCGCGGCCACTGCGCCGCGCTGCTCACGCCAGCGAATGGGGGAGGGCAGCAGCAGCTGCCACAGGAGGGCGAATCGGCAGCGTCAGAAGGGCCGGGAGGCTTGCCGTCTCACCTTGCAAAACGAGGGGCCAGCCAGGGCGGCAGCAGTAGCGGCACCAAGTGGGAGGTTGGGGGGAACCGGCGCCACAAAAGCCTGTGTGGCAGCAGCGGGGGCGGCTCGACGCCTGGCCAGCAGGCCACGCCGAGAAGGCGCCAGACCTGCGCAGCTACCAGCCCACCGGCAGCTTCCGGGCAGGCGCTCCGGCCCCTGCCCTTTGCGCGCCCCAGCGCGGCAGATAGCCAGCACTCCCTGTCAGGCTGGTCGCTGCCGGAGCCGACGCTCGGCGTCGGCGGCGCCAGGCACAGCAGCGGATCCCGGCGTGCTGATGATGGCTCGCCCGGTGACGAGCCATCGTTCGCGTGGGGCGCATCTGGGGACGCCCCTGCCTGGCAGGAGCAGCAGCAGCAGCAGCAGCAGCAGCAGCAGCAGCAGCAGCAGCAGCAGCAGCAGCAGCAGCAGCAGCAGCAAGCGGGTAGCAAGCGCACCCATCCTGCGTCCAAGCTGGCGCTTCCGGACACTTCCGGCGCCGCCTGCGAGGGTAAAGGTGGCTTCGCTGGAATCGGCGGGGATGGTGGCACCGGCGTCGGTGCGCTCGAGGGCAGCAGCACGATGCGGCGGACTGCAACAGCGAGCGAATTGCTCTCCAGCGCCAGGCTGCAGCTGGTGAGCGAATAAGTCCAGCCAGGGCAGACCACGTCTTTAGAATTCATTTTGGGACACTAGCCCCGTGCCATCATCTCTCACCTGCACAGAATAGAAGGCTTCCACATGTCTAGGCATCGCGTCCCGCCTGCTTTCACCGCGACTTCCACGCAGCTTCCCTGTGCCCTCAAACATGACTCAGCCCTCACGCCACAACCCGTTCGCTGCCCCGCCGCAGGCGGCAGCCGTGCACAACGAGCGCCAGCGCAACGCCGACGCGTTGCAGTCGGCGGCAGAGCAGGGGCTGCTCACGGCCCGCAGCCGGGTTTCCGCCGCAAAGGCTGCGAGGCGCGCTTGCAGGAAGGTGGACGGCGGCGGCGGCGCTGGGCCTACCAAGGCTCCCGGCAGCGGGGTCTTGGCGGCTCACTGCCCGCCCTCCCACAGAAGCAGCAGCCGAGGCTCCCAGGCCGAGCGCAAGCAGACAGCGCCCGCCGCGGCCGGCAGGGTGGCGCGGCAGCGGGAGAAGCGGGCCGCGGCGGCGGCCGAGGCACGCGCGGAGGGCGCCTTCAGGACCGCGGGCGCGGCGGTACAGGCGCTCGCGGCTGATGGGTCAAGGGGGCCTGCCCGGGCCGAGGCGCGAAGGCGGGTGGCGGCGATGCAAATGGTCCGGCATCTGAAGCGTGGCGGCCGGCGGATCGCAGTAGCCGCGCAGCCGCACCTTGACAGGCATTTTAGCAGGCAGCGAGAAAGGGGCACGGCAATTTCGTTTGTGCAACAGACCGGCGCGCTGCAGCGGCGGGCGGTCCGTGAGAGCGTCGCGGTGCTGCGGGCGGCCCAACAAGACGCGGCCGCCGTCCGCTGCAGCGAGCGGCGCGCGTTCGCCGCCGGATCGGCGGCGGCGGCAGCGGCGCGTTGCGCGGCGGCGCGCGAGGGCGCTGCTGCGGCGGCGGAAGAGCAGCGGGCGCGCTTGGCGGGCGCGGCAGGCGCGGCGCGAGGGGTGGGAGAGCTAGAGGGGGCTGCGCGCAGCGCGGCTACCCAGAGCCTCCGGCTGGCGCGGGCCGAGGCGCTGCGGCGAGTGGGGCCGGCTGGGGGCCTGTGGGGCAGCAAGAGCCCCGCGGCGGAGCTGCGGCCGCCCCTGCCAGTGACGCTGGTCGGGGCGGTGACGCCCGCCGCCGCCGGCTGCGGTGCTAGGTGACTCGCTTCAGCTTGGCTGTTGTGCCCGCCAACAGCCGATGCGCCCCTGGCCTGCCTTAGACCGGCACCCAGCATGTGCCAGTCTGTCGAATGACAGCCTGCGTCCGAGCGGCCGCGTGTGTCCGCCTGTTCGTGTCGCCGCCGACCCTGCAATTGGCCGCCGCGCTGAGGCCCACACAGGGACGCACGCGGGGCCCGGGTGCCTGCAGCTGCTCAGCGGCTTCCTGCAGCTGCAGACCAGCTTCAACGGAGTGGTCGGTCGCCGGTGGCCGTGGCTCTGATGCACCGCTAGCTGCGAAGTACGTAGTCCAGGAGCAGCGTAACATGAGCAGTAATGAAGGGGTGCGGTGGGACAGCTGGTATGGAGGTTGCAAGGTTATGGCAGGTGATGAGTGCAGCCGCGCCCTAGGCGTCTATGACAGCACGCTGCATACGGGTCTGCTGCGGAGCGGTCAACGCACAAGGCTTGAGCGCTGCAGCTGCCTGCTTGCAAATGAGGTTCTGCACGAGTGGAGTTGTTCAATGCAGAAGTCGTTGATGATTCATCCTATCGTTGCTTCGTACAGCGCACGCATCATCTCTTGACACCGAAACCATCGCTGGCGGGTGGTGCTCATTCTCTCATTACCGTCTCAATCAATCTATCAGTTCGATATAAGAAAATCCACCAGTGCCTGTCGGTACCGGACAATCAGCAAACGCACAGTGTCCCGACGCCGCTCACCCGGGGACGTGTGGTGTGCACGCACTGCGCCGCAACACCAGCTGCAGACACAGCAGCCCCCATCGCGTGCGGCACTGTACAAGACCCGGCGCTCTCCTCCGCCTGCGGCACAGGCCAGGACCCGCGCCGCGCCGCAGAGGGACGCGCAGCGATCGCCATGCCGCGCGGCGTGCTGAAGGCAAACCTGCCTTCAAAAATCTGCGAGACCTGCCAGAAGCCGTTCACCTGGAGAAAGGTGCGGCCCTGCTTCACGCCACATCAGCGCCTGCAACATGCTCTGAAGTATCTCCCGCCTTGAATTCAAAAGCGGGTCCCCTGCGACTGCCTGCTCCCGCCATGCAGCCTTCCGTTGTCATTTCTCAGCCCCACCCCTGCCCCTTTTCCCTTACCCCGTGGCGCCCGCGCCGCCCCCTCCCCCAGGTGTGGGAGCGCTGCTGGGACGACGTCAAGACGTGCAGCGACCGCTGCAAGAGCGAGCGCAAGAAGCAGCTGCAGCTGGATCGGCGGCCGCTGGAGGCGGACGAGCGGCGGGCGGCGGCGGCGGGGCCGCCCGCGGAGCAGGGGGGCGAGGGCAAGGCGGGGAAGAAGCGGCAGGAGCGGCGGCGACGGTCGCCGTCACCGTCGGGCGCGCAAGCAGACGCTGAATAGTATTGACAGGGCAGCTTGTTTCTCTTGAACGCACAGATGTGCCTGAGCCATTTGCCTGCAATCTTTTTTGACACGCACCCTCTTGTGCAGTCATGGTGGCGCTGGGGCCCTACCCTCTTGAGTAATGTTATTGTAGCAGGCACGTCTGGCTGAGTCATCTAAATCCCGCCTTACTGATCTTATCAAGACCCCTTGGCAGCCGAAGAGACACAGGGCTGGCCGCGCTTACACAGGCCCTGGCCGGGGCCGGCTGAACACGGGGGCGGAGGGCAGCGGGCCGAGATACAACATGCGATTGCCCCCCTGCAGCACTTACAGGCGGCAGCGGAGGGCGAGGTCGCAGGGGCGGCACCGCCGCAAAGGGGGACGAACGACCAGAACGCAAAGGCACAAAGCCAACACAGCCCAACAGGGCCAGAGACGTGGGTACTGCTACAAACAGAGCCTAGGGCAGCAGGCGGCGAGCCCTGCTTCCCAGCGCTGTGTGGGTCTGTCTGTCCTTGCAACTGGCTGGCGCGGCGGGCGCGCCGCGCCCGTAGGCGGGCCCTGAGTCTAGACTAGAGCGCGCTAGCTGGAAGCCAGCTGCAGCTCCTCAGGCTGTAAGCTGCCGCTGCTATTGCCGCTGCCGCCGCTGTGGCCGCTGCTGCCGTTGTCCGCGGCGCCATTCAGAGCCCGCGCGCCGGCGCCGCAGAAGGGGCGCCCGTCGCCGTCCGAAGGGCTAGCGGCGAGCGCGTCCTCTGAGGCCGTGGGGCCGTTCGCGGCTGCAGCGCGCGCGTCCCACAACTCGAGCGCCTGCCGCAGCTGCAGCTCGTCGAGCCTGCCCAGCCGCCCGCCCCCCTCCAGCAGCGCCGCCACGCCACCCGCCAGCGCCGCGCTCGGCGGATGGGGCAGCTTCGCGAGTGCGAGCGCCGCGTTGGCCGCCTCCTTTGGCTGCATCCTCGGGAGCGCTGCGGCGACCGCCGCGTCGAGCTCGGCCATCCACGCTGAGCTGGCGTGTAGCTGCAGGCCCGCCAGCCCGGCCGCGACGTTTGACAGCTCCGCGCCGTTCAGCCGCCGCGCGCGCAGCGCGCGCGAGAGCGCGGAGAGCAGCGCCGCGGCCGCGGCCGGCGGCGGCGGCGGCGGG